GCTTTAGCATATAAACAATAGAGGAATGCAAACTAAGGCACAGTACACATGCCTCTATGAATTAAAGCATCTTTCTTGAGCAGGAATATTTTCCCAGAGCTCAACACCAAAATGTGGAATTGTCTCAGTATAATTAACTTGTTTCATGATAGTCAGACTACATAAGGACTTTATTTACAAGTTAAATCATCACAGGCTATGTTGATTGACCTCTATCCTTCTCTACCTAACATCAACCGAAGCTCCGCTTTAAGGCAGTAAAATCTTAACAGAAGAGAGGATTTTAAAAAGGATATGTACTTGTCATATTTTCAAAAGCACTAGGCAGGCCTGGGAAAACTACTCCTCTTCTAGAGAAAGGCTTAAGCAGAAAGACAGAAGCCTGTCTATATTTATACAGTATTATCAGTTCCCTAAAGAAAGCTGAAAAATTTAACCATTTCCTCAGGACTGAGAACAAATAGGAAAGCATGAGTATGAGTTTCTCAGTTTTTGAGGAAATAAAATTAAAAAGAGATAATAAAACAATACTGAATAAAATGATGAACACCACCCCCCCCCTTATGTATAAAACTGGGTATATAAATCCTATACAAAGGCTTAATAATCATGACTAAACTACACAAATTTCCTTGCAGGTAAAGGAAAGACTTCAGAGTTGAGTTCTTCAAAAGAAGTCTACTATACAAGTAAGCAAACGTAAAAATCCTTAGCTCAGAACCCTCAAAAGAACAAGAGGAACAGCATACCCCAAGGCAATAAATAAATGACCACATTTTAAAACAAAACAGCACCCAAAATTTATACACCTCATGCTAGATCACCTGATGGGAGAGAGAGACAAGGGAAAGACAGACTATATAATTGCATTTGGCAAGTGGAATTCCAGAGTGTAAAACAAGATGGAGTATTAGACTGTGGCATTAGAGCTGCTGTTGTTGCATTAAGGGGAATGAGGCAGAGACCATTAAGTTCATTAGAGTCAGGATTTATTATACAGGTATAGTCAACTATCTGTCAAGTCCACTTTTCTGCTTCTATACTTCTGCATTAAAAATGGCCACTTACTGAGAATAGTCATTCTATTAATTTTCTTACTTTGTTTTATGGCTGGCTGTGAAAAAATAACTTCTTGTCTGGCAATTACAGTTATGAAAATTTCTATCTGCTTACTATGCATCACAGGTGAAACTTATTCTGAAGCCAAGTAACCTTCTGATTAAAAGCCTTTGTGAAAAGAGCTAAGACATGGCTGTTGAAAACGATTTCTCAAAATCAACAGATACAATGACTGTTGCACTCTGCCTCTTTTCCATTTTACCTAACTCAATATTTTAAATTTGGTCCACATTAGAAGTACAGAATGTGCTCTTCATGAAAGAGAAAGCTGAAGAGACTTGCTAAAACCAATCTCTTTTGTCACTAGATCATTGGTGTGAGACTTATGTCTTCCACAGTAGTAGGAAAGCGATTCACATCGTGTAGCCTTATTGCTAATGGATTGCACTACCATAAGACAAATAAGCAACAATACTGGAATATTAATGCCATATAGATGTGTAAAAAGAGTTCATAAAATTTTCCCTCCCAATTTTAAGAAAATTTATGGTAATGGAAGTCAAGTTTAAGAAAAATTTTGTCTGTTGTCATATAAATATAGATGTTATTTTATGTGCACAATCAAGAGACCAATTAGACTCATAAAAATACCAAGTTTTCATAGTTAGATTCATAACTCTTGTAGTCAACTTTGAAATGATTACAAAGATTAGCAAATTCTCATTTTAAGTACTGCACTAACTTGATCTCATTAAGATAGCATTTAAAAATAGGATTCAAATAAAATGAAAAATTAAAATCGAAAATTTATATTCTCTGCCAACAAATACAATAGATTTTCTTCTAAAACTCCAGACTACTTGAAGAAAAGCCAAATTATAAGGGAGAAAATGAAAAAGTTCATTTGAGATGAAGAAAATATCCTAGATTCAAGTGATCGGAATTTATTTTTAAAAGCTTTTCTATGTGAACTCCCGCCCTGATATGAAGGGTAAGTAGACAGGTATGTCATGTCATCACAGCACACAGTACTGCCTGCTACTGTAGCAGGTCCACAGCCTCCTTTGCATCTGTGATAAATCCACACTCTCTGAAGTAGATTTTTAAAATATTCAGTACATTGTAAGTTCCTAAAATGGAGTCTTTTATTGTGTCCCATTTTATTGTTGGATAAGAGTTTCTCTTATTTTAGCTTGGCTCTCTTGAAGCCCTTCTGGATCTAGTTGGGCAAGTCTAAAGCATGTGAATGTGGTCTCCAGTGTTATAAGGAAACACACTGAACCACTCTCATGGAAAGAAACATAAATACTTTCCTAAAAAACATGCTTACGTAATTTTCTTTGCCATCACAGAGAGTAATAATGTTTCAGTGTTGCTAAAGAAATTAAAATGGTCAGAACATAGATTTACAGTAAAAGGGAACTGCCCCTCAACACATCAAATGCATCGTTGAAGCAATAGTTCAGAAGTCAAGCAGTAACAAACAGCATATGAACCAATGTATCTACCATCCACCTTATCTTGAATAAAACAGGCAATATGAAAAAGTGATTAACTCTCCCCAGTTGCTACAATGAGCACATGGCTAGTTCTAGTTGCTTGATACTACCTTGAGCTGTAAGAACTCAACTGCTTTATTCCCACTTGCACATTCTAACAAAAATTTAGTACGCATGAAAATTCAGTAACAATGTTCTGCCTACCTGCCACAATGCTTCACAATAAAACAGCATCACACCTTCTTTCAAGAATATTCAGTAAGACACCAAGATCAGTAAAACTTGAAGAAAAACTTTAAATATCGACCATAAATGTGTATATAAGAACATTTCAAGCATGACAACAGAACAACGATATAATTTGTGATACCACATCAACAAAAATACAGTCCAAAGAATATATGAATGAATAATGATGTTTTCATGTGCATTGAACTTCCAGATGCAGGAATTATGTTTGAAAACACATGCATGCGCAGCTAGAAATCATGTTCCTTCTTTTTAGCCAGTAGCTATACTCTAGACTAAAAATGTTTATATGATTTCCTTGGCTAATGCAGACAGTACAAAATGTTGAATCACCATGCCAAAACAAGACATCCTTTTCTATATCAGTCAATCCCCTGATACTGCAACAGTACCCCTAAAAAGATTTGGGGTTACAAGTGTGGAGAAAATTCCAGAATCGTAATTCTTTGTCTTTTAACATTTCTTTTAACAATGAATTTTCTGTCATATCCTTTCTAAAGACAACGATTGATATGAGAAACTATGAGTAAAAAGGAAAATAACAAAAATTGTAGATGAAATAATGTAAAATATCAAAATAGTTATCAGATTTCCTAAGGATCCAAAACTAAAGGAGGAAAGTTATCAGGTAAATAAAATTGAGTCCCAATTAAAACTAACATGAGACCATATCACAGTAATAGGTCTTACATTGCCATAGCAAGAAAAAGTTTAAAGATAAATATAATTCAAATGCAAAATTTTCTCAACTACAGTCAAAATTATGAAATAAAAATCTGAGAGAGCTCTTTCTTCATTTGCAAAAAAAGAAACAGATAGATGTTACCCTTTCCTTTTCTAGTTCCGGCTTTTTTACAGCAATCTTGTGTCAAGGTTTGAACTTCTTAAAACCAAGTTTTTTATGTTGAGTTTGGTTCCGAATCAGTGAATTAAAATACAAAATAATAGTCTAAAGGTAAAAAATGCTGTACTTTGGAAAAGCAGGGTTACACTGAATGAGCTTAATATGAAGAATTTTATATATCACATAAAGCACAAAAGAAATAAAGTATACAAGAGCCATAATATTGTTTATATTACAACTTAAATTAACTTTTCAGTTTATTATCAGGGATAGTTTTCTACAACATAGAATACAAAGGGGGACATAAGATTTTGCTCTGATATTTTGAATATTTTTTTTTTATCCTTTGGGCAATATAATCAGATTAGCTAATACAATATTGTTTCTACAAATGAATACTTCTGCAGTAATTTAATTCCTATTGCAGAATTTTTTTTTTACTTGGTGAGTATTTCACACCTTAGTTATTTTATTGAAATGAGTTGAGACTTCTGTTTAAGGAGATCTCTTCACCCAACAGAATAAATAATTTCACAAGTGTACCCTCTTTGTAAGTGATATAATGGCCTTTCTGAGATGACAGTTGTATTACAATGTATTATAAATATCTAGCTTTAAAAATGGATTTAATTTCACACCAGCCTAAAAAGATTCCAATCCAAAGCATGTAGCATAGTAACTGTATATTGTACTTGTCTAGAATAAATTTGCATTTTAAATTGTTCTGTAAGGATTCAATGCTCAAACCCTTTAGTGTCAGCACATTTCATTTGGCATTGAATGGATACTAAAACAGATCTCTGAATGAATACTCCTCAGAAGTACATAGTACTATTTTTTACTGTATAATTATAAAACCATTATAGATTTATTTTAGAAATCATTCAATAACATTTTTTTTAAACAACTATATGTTAATACACTGAATTTCTGCTTCATTTTATAATTTATCCTTCCTCACAATATGAGAAACTACACAGCGGAATGAAATTTTGTTCCTTTTGAAATCAATAACCAGTTGCTACTGACTTCAGACATGCCAGAACTTGATTTGTTGTCTGTCTGAACTATATTAGTTAGCTCTTCTTCTTTTATCTTGGTGTGTTATAGCCGTAAGAGAATGTAATACACCTATTGTAGCCAAAAGATTTATGTAAAATACTACATAAATTTTAAAATTGCACTTTCTGCATTATTCTGATGCTATATAACGTTTAATCTCATTACTTTTCTGAAATTAAAATTAGTATCATGCAATTAAAAAAAAACAAACCAAAGTGCTTAGTTGTTTGACTTCTCCAATTCTTTAAGATTGTAATTTTAAGATGAAGGGGGGAACAGGAACTTACCTACTTGGTACTTTGGGTAATAAGTTGCCATTTGTCCACTACTGCATGATTGTCTCTTATGCCTTTTTCTTATATTTGTATCAGTGGTCTCCCATTGTGGACTTTTTCTTTTGTTTATTCTGTTAAGAACTTCAGAACTACTAGCAGGATTATCATCATGGTTTACACCACTACTTAATTTTCTGCTGTGAAATTGGTCATCCAGCCTTTCAGTCACTTTAGAAGAATTAGATCCTTTAGATGATTCCATTTCATTTTCTTGTTTCTTTAATGCATTTTGCTTAGTAGAATGGGACCTTAAAAGAGGATGTCTTTTTTCTTCTGTATAGGCCTGATTGCTTTTACTTTCAACAGCTTCAGGAGAATAAATGACATTATTTAACTTAAATGAATTGTGCTGCTCAATATGGTTGATTTTTCTCAGAAATATCCTACAATCTTTAAAGGTTTTGGCTTTCCAAGTATTTTGAAACAGTTTATCTTGGCTTTGTTCTTTTCTAACATTTTGTTGGCAACAAATTGTTCCATTTGTCTCTGCATGTGACTTAAGTATATTTGCTAAACCAGGATGTGGGTTAAAGTCAGAAGATCCCATCATCTGTTGAACAAATGCATCTCTGGCTTCATTTTCAGTTGGCAAGAGGCTACTCTCAGATTCTACCAAAGTCTGAGTGGGCTGGACTTCTACTCTATTTTTTTCCTGGAGCTTGGGCATTTCATCATTGGTTTCCCCACTTGTACTTTTAAACAACTGGCTTTGGCAAAAGAACTGCAAATTTTTCTTTTTTGATTTCCAGCCTCCGGGAGCCTGATTATAGAGCTTTTTCGTTTGTCCCCACCTATCACGCTGTAACTTCTTAAATTCATTTCTTTTTAATCTGGCTAATGTGAAATTACTTTTCATGCTTAAGACTGGAGACCTCACCATGTTATGTAATATTTGTAACTTCCCTGCTGGTTTGGAAGGAGAGGATAGTGCAAACTTTTTAAAGTGCTTTCTGAAAGGGCAAGTACTAAGATCAGATTGTTTAGTTTCCATCTTTATCTCTCTAGTACTAACTACTTCTAAAGGATTGCGAGCATTTGCCTTTCTCACTAGAGAGAGAGACTGTGTTTCTGTAGTTTGCATAAACCAGGTGCAGAGTTCATTCATATTACACTTTTTCTGAAAAAGCATTTTTATAGGTGATGTTTCAAGTTCTACAAGGCAGGAGTCTAAAGGGTTTGCCATTTCAGAATTACAGTCTTGTTCAATGGGATCCCTTTTTTCACATACACATTTATCAAACTCAGTTCCCCCCACTCGCAACCAGGTATTAGTTATCTGTTCAAATCTATTATTTAGTTCTTCCAACAAAGTGTCACTTGAAGTGGAACTGGCCCACCACCTGAGAGAGGGATTTGATGAAAAAATGGGATCTGATGATACTTCGTTAATGGGCCTGAATTCACCATCCTTAAGATCCTTTTTTGCATTTCCTGAATTTCTCAGTTCTGAGGTATCTTTGGATGCTGTGCTCTGATTTGATTGCCTGTGTTTTTCCTTTCGATCTTTAGCTTTTTTCAAATGGAGTTTGTAAGATTTATGTAGTAAGGCACTTCTACAAGTAAATGCACTAGAAGATGCTAATGAATGTAAAAAATGCAGCGAGGGTTTTCTGTCTCTAGCAGAATGTCTCAATGGAATTTCACGTTTTCTTGACACTGTTGTAATAATATTGTTTGATCCATCCTCTCTAGAATCTTTCTGCATGCTCTTTACTTGACCCATATTATTGCACAGTTGATTTTTTCTCTCCTGTGGTATGTTTTTTTCTAACACATTCTGCTGTTGTAAAGGAGGCAAACAGTTGCTAATACTCACTTTTCTTTCCTGAGGTGAAACTCTATTAACAGTCACTGATATGCCAGAGATTTTTACTTTTGCTGGCCTACCGGGTTTTCGAATGGTGGTTAACGGTTTCTTAATTGGCCGTATAATATTGCTGCAAGGATGTGGTGATGCTAGGTTACTCTTGGTAGGTCTAACATAGTCATAACCAGAGACCTCGTTTTCAGTAGAAGAATTCTGTAAGGCTTTTACTATTTCAGTCAAAGCATTTTCAGTTTCTGCATTGTGTCTTGCTTTGCCCTGGTCACTGGCAAAATTAGAATCAATGTGTTGTGTGGGCAGAATCTTGATTACATTTAGATTACCTTCAGAAACATGTCTCTTAGTTCTTCTTGACCTTCCAAAAACAACTGTCACAGTAATATTTTTGTTGCTGTTAACTTCTTCCATTACTGCTACATCAGATTTGGTACTTTTACCATCACTGCTAAGTTCAGGTCTAGGTTCTGTGCTTTCAGTCATGTCTATTTTTGGTTTTGGAGGCCGTCCAATAGGTCTCTTAACCTGCTTAACAACTTGAGGACCTATTTTCTTCGGTCTACCAGGTTTTCTTTTTAAAACCGATTCACTGCTACTGCTTGATTTCTCCACAACTTCGTGATTTTGTTTCGAGTCATTTATGTTAGTTTGACCAACTGGACAAGAACTTGTAATCGCTTCCGGATAAACACAACTTGACTGCTCCTTGGTATCATTTTCACTGTAATCACAATCCTTGGCACAGATTGCATGAGAAAGATCTCCTGTGGCCTGTTTGTCTAACAAAGTGTTTGTGTGCCCCTGAAACAAACAAATATCTGTGCTTCCTTTAGAAGATGCAGCTGCAGATGTCAAAGTATATTTGACTCCTTCACTACTATTAACCTCCGAGACAAACATAAGCTTAATAGGACTAGAGTAGTTTAAGGGAGATGAGATCTCCCCAGCTTCAGAAGTTGTATGTGAGTCCCCATTATTGGAAGTTGAACTGGATGAATCAAAAGTCAGAGATTTCAAAAGGCTGTCATTACTTTCTTGATCTATAACCATTTCTTGTTTGTTTGTTGTCACACACACAGTTTTGATTTTACTGCTGCTTGGCACATGTGAATGTGGGAGGAAGCTTTGTCCTGTGCATCCCATTTCATTCAGAGTGAAAGGTAAGCCTCTTCTAGCAGCTGGGTTCATAACCTGTTCATAAGCATTACCTTTTAATTTTTGGCTTATTTTGTAACTATCCAGTAATGAGTTGTTAGTCTTTCTGGCTAAGTTTATTGTATCTTCTAAACGCTCTACAACAACTTGCAGATTTGTGTCTCTCATAATTTTTCTTATATTTATGTCACTGCATCTTTCAGTATGAACATCTTTATTTATTTTCATTTTTTCCAAACTTTCTAAAGACTTTTTTGTATTGGATGACTTTCTAAACACAATATTGTTTGTTACATACACAGAGTACCATCCAGGAGGCACGATGTTACGTTTAGTTCTGCCCAAGATTCCATTATTCTCATCCTTTAGAGGAATCTGATCAGTCTCTTTTAAGGTTGCAAAATCTCCTTGTGTTTTTGCGAGTTCCGCCTGGCTGGCTGCAATAGCACTGTTTTCTGAAAGAACTAGAAAGCCGGAGCTGGTTTGAAAATTAGAAAGAGGTAGTTTGAAAGCCTCTGTTTGGTGTACTGGAAAGCACATTGGTTTGGTTTGGCAATTCATGCATGGATTACTTTCAAGATGTTGCAAAGCCTCATCTTCTATCACAGTAAAACTGTGTCTTTTATTTGGATATATTTTATCAATTTTTTTTGTAGATTTCTTTATATTTCTCTCAGAAATTGACTTTTTTCTTACAAGACTTTCATCAAGGCTTGCAAGCTCCCTCTTGATTTGCAAAGACTGTCGTCGAATGAATGGTGAATCAGGAGAATTATACATTGCAAATAAAGTTTCCTGACGCTTGCGAAATCTTGTTTGGATAATTTTATTATCCATTTGTTTATCATGTTGGTGAAGTAATTCCATAAAGCTGTAATCACTTGCCTTAGCATTATGCAAAAGAGAGGTTATGAAGTCTCCTAATTTGACATCATTTTCTGGTGCCCTGTCACTGCTAGAAAGTTTTATAAGATTTGTTGCTATATCTGTAGTGTCTATTGATTTTAACTTTTCATTAATACGGTCCATTAAATCTTGAAAAATGGCAGAATGTTCACCTTTCTCAGCCTTCTCAGAATTTATATAATAATTGTTGCTTTCTTGGTCTGTTGATAGCAACGTTCCATCTGAATATTCAGTCTCTTTTCCTCTGCGTGTTTTACCTTCATATTCAAATTCTCCTTTGCTTCCTTCAGCTGGCAAGAGGGATGGAGGCTGGTTGATGGATATTTCAAGCTTGTTATTGTCTAAAGTTGGAAAATCTATAACCGATCCTTCTGATGATTCAAATTCTTTACTCTGTACAGGTGATAGTGGAGGTGGTGATGGGCTGCGAGATCTATTTGAATTTTTAATGCTGTTCAAGAGATCACAGTCCTTAGTTGAATATGTACATGCTGCTGCTTTCACAGAATGCCTGTTATAATTTTGCAATTGTTCAGCACAATACTTATGAGAACTACATGCTTTGTTCACCATTGTCTTAATACATCCAATCGCTACAGCTTGGCATGACAAAGAATGGAAATCTTTAATACAAACAGACAGAGGTGGTAAACAAGTGTTTGGTCTTTGATTTTGTAAACAGCACCTTTTTGTCAGCATATGTCCATTGCAATTGCAAAATGAAACGTGAACATCCTCTTCAGTAAGGGAACGGGGAGTTTCAGAGTGGACCAAATGTGTTTGCTTGCAACTGCAAACTATAGGAACATTTTCATCTTGTATTAAAAATTTTAACATAGCCAAAGTCTGTTGCCAGTGATATGAACAAAAAGACTCCAAAACTTTGTTTAATGTTGATTTTCCTTTTTCCAAATTAGCTGTGTCCTCTGAATTTGCATCAGCTGTTGAGCTTGAACTGAAAATGAAAACAAATCAAAACAAAATATAAATTACAGTAAAACACCGTATCTAATGTATGTTATGGTTAAACTCAAGCCTAAAAACCTGAAGTTTGCAAAACAGTTCTGTTCTATTTGCACTATTCAATCATATTTGCGAGTGTCACTAGCAATGATGTGCATCTTATCTATAGCAGTGATAGTCCTACCCTAAGAAAAATAATCAGGAAGAAATTAAGGGACAAAAAGAATTTTTTGAAACATAGCTTCTCATATCTAAATGTAATTACAATAATGTTAACTTTCTGATATTTCAAATTACCTTAGTCATTAACAAAGGAAAACCTCACCAAGAACCTGGGGAGCTTAGTATTACTCCCATTTCACAAACTGAGGCACAGAGAGGGTAAATGACTTGCCTAAGGTCACAATCCAAGGTTGTGGCAGAGGCAAGAATGGATCCATCTCTCCTGAATCCCACCCTAAGATATTCATATACCAAAGTGTATTGAATGTTCTTGAGGATACTCTTAAAGATCCTTATAAAGACATTTTTATTTATATATTTATTTTGAAAGAACACTTAATAGGCTAACAGAAAATGGAAAAAATAGCCACTTGCTACTGTTACTATTCTTTGCAGAGAGAAGTTTCCCTTTTAGTTTTTAAATAAATTGCAGTGGTGCATCACAGGCTCTTCATTGCAATGTATTACACACACATACACACACACGTGCGCGCAACACACACACATAGATTCCTTCATTAAACAGAAACAGAGATAATCACCACTGGAATAAATAACTTCTGTGATGAAGGTTAATACCCTTTAAATCTCAAATACAGGGTAGGCCTATATCTAAATAAGACTTCTGAGCAGTTGTTCTCAAAGATATTAACTCAAAATCACTTATAAAATACTACTTTAACTATTTAATTAATTTCTTATAAATTATTAACACTAATGTCACTACTTACCTAATCAATCATTTATATTGAAAAGCTGAAAATTTTCCATGGTAGAAATTAATACAGATATTTCTTCAATTAAATACAAAATCCTTAAGCTGGATAGCAACTATCAACAGATAGTTAACACCTAATTCAAATGTTTTACTGAAACCAACTGCATGAGCAGAAAATGTTAGAAGAATTCTGTTTTAGAAAAGTATGTATTGTTTAAACACATCACCAAACTCTGAACATGACACTAACTTTTTGCCCTGTTATTACCTCCTGTAATTTTTTGCATTTAAGCCTGTACTTTGGAAAAATTTCATTTTGATTGGGTTGACAATCGTATTGATCAAGGAACAAACATATTTAAAATTTAATGTGCTGTATTTATATAAAGTTACCCATTCATTAATTAGCTCATACCCAATGTTATTAGCATCAATAGTAACTTTCAGCTTCAGGTTTCTTACTGGAAGTTATACATACAAATTTGTATTTTTATTGTCCCACACAGATTTTAAAGTTTAGAGCTTAAAACCAGCCAACTACGCTTAATAATTCCTCATGTTTTTTCCTTCTCCTGTAATATTTAGTATGAAATGGTATATATTCAAAATAAGCATGTAGATAATACTAACTCATAAAAGCGTAAGATAATTGTGATAGTACTAGTTGAAATTGCGATTATGTTTAAACTGGAGTAATTGAAGTCTTAAAAAGAAAAAAACTCTTTGCACTTGCAATCTAAAGTAAAAACAGCACTATTCAAAGGCATGTCATTGTCAGATTTAACTGTTTTTGAAATACCACTTCACTGAGAAGAGTCTGAGTGTTACTCAGTCCAACAAACTCAGGAATCACGAGGTGTTGAAACGTATCACTATACTTGTGAAAACAAAGCTTATTCTAGTAGTACAACTACGGATAAAAACTAATTGCCCTCCCCACCACCATGACTTACTAAATAAAGTTTTGAAAGGCCAGGTAGAAAAAAAATGAACACAACACTAGCTCTTAAATATTTTGTTTGTAAATCATAGTAAATTTGTTAAGTACTAATTTGCTAAAAAGATGGCTATAGTACAGTCTTTTTAGACTGAACTCTAGACAGATACCTGTCTGTCTAGACTTGCAAGGTACGTCTAATGGAGTTTCACTGGAGAGCTTTAATTGTAGAGGACCTGTATCCATAACTGCTATTTAAAATATGCTCACTGGTAGAAGAAACTTCCAGAGCCCTACAGCCTTCTCAAAGTCAGTAACCAAAATTTCCAAAGGCCTCAAAACTGCTTTGAATTTGCTATGTGGAGATTAACCTGTTGTATAAAGTAATATCCTGGTTATCACAGACATACTGGACATTCTTCTAATACGATTTCTTTCCTGGATATCTACCCTTGTGTAACATCTATAATCTGCTTTCCCTTAGCGTGTGTTAGTTTCTAAAGCTGACAGACAACTTAACTTCATCCATTCTATTGTAATAGTACCACACTCCAAATGATCTTCCAAGTTTGTGAAAACACATCCACCCCTTACTCAGTCACCATTTGGGAAAAGAGCTTACTACACAACAAATTAAAGCAACACATTTTCTTTGAAGTGTCTCTCTGTAGAGATGTCCATATATTTAAACAAACTAATTTTTAGTAGCTTTTCAATACAATTATGGAATTATATTTCAGTTTCCTGTAATTCCTTCATATAGCCCTTTAAATTTGTGCTGTCACACAGTAGTTTAGACTATCCTCAAGATAAAAGGTTTAAACAATAATTTCATAGAAGGAAGAGCTATCACTTTCACAGTTGCATACTTCCTTCACAGAACAGTCTTACACTTCCTACAAATCACACACAAAGATGGCTAGAGAGAGTGGGTAGGAAATGGAGGGGTTGAGAGGTGAGAGGATCAATACGCGCTGCTCCCCCAGTACCTTTTGTGCACAGTATCTCTGAAGACAAAAGCTAAGCGTGGAATGACATTATTTCCCTGCTGGAGGGCAGGGCAGTTAATACCATGGAGTGGAGGCTGACTGGAGTCCAAAATTGGCACAAAGGCAGAGATCTGATAAGGTTAAGTACTAGCCTTTCAGCGTATTATTTTATGTATAAAAAAGTAAACCTTTGCCTCCTCCACAAATCCAAAAAACTATCAGGAAAGAGCTCTATCAGAGGACTCCCAAAAGATGTCCTTCCCTAGCATTCTATCCTCTGTCTCAGCCACAGACAAGATAGATCAATCTAGCAACTTTGCAGACTGGGAACAGGAACAAAATTGGGAAGAGAAGAACATACTTTCAAGTACTCATATGAACAGCATAGAAATGTTCTAGAAATATAAATTTGTCCTATAGAAATGTTTGTTTTCTGACTTTACTAAGTAAATAAATCCCTCAACAAAAGCTATATATTATCTGTAATATATAATAGATAATTTTTAGCTGCAAACTAAAGGATGTAATTGTTATAAAATTAGTTTTCTGAATTTCTTCTCACTTTTGAGTAATGCATCAATTCTGAGACATCATCCTTCCTTAAAGCTATTATTTCTGATATATAAAATTATCATAGTAAATTAGTTATTATGTGCTTAATTTGTACAGTTCTTGATCTTATGCCACTGCTAATAAACTTGTGCCTCAGGAGTAAGTCAAATGAGTCAGTGTACAGGTTTTTGTTTCTTTCTTTTTTTTTACTGAATGAGCAAATCAATCACACATCAGTGTTGTAAATTTATGTGCAAAAGCATTGAAGTGCTTTACTACAAATTACAACGTAGAAACACGTTAACTAAACAATTAAATTCATACAATCAGATTTAGGAATATAACAACACAAAGAAGAAACAGAATTACAGTACATTTACAACACAAGACAAATACATGGAATTCATTAGAAAATATTGTAATAAATAATTCATGAATTATAGTGCAATTGATTTATGCATAAATATAACTAATTGCCTAAAAATCAGTTGTTAACAAAAATCTGTCAAAAATCAAGGCAGCCACAGAGTTTTACTAAATTACTGCGACAATGGAAATACTGCAATTAAAAAACAAATACAAGTATTTGTACTGTAAACAACTAAAAAAATCAGTCTCACTAAAGTTAATATACAATTTAATATAAAATTGTCATTAGCTACCAGAAATGGTTTAAACAGCTTTACTGAGCAGTAGTTCTAAAAACAGAGGCACTGTTTTTTAATATAAAATACTTGAGAAACATTCAAATAAGTAGAAAGCATGTAGGGCTTGCTTTCGCCTTCATTTAAAATTCTGCTGAAACAGGAATTTTCAGAAATTGTCAATTACTAAGTAGTGACTGGTAACTGAATTTATAAAACAGTTCAAAATGTGTAATTTAAATGACATTTAATGGAATACATAGGGGTTGGGGAAGCAGAATCTACACATTTCCCTGCTTTTCCTTAGTTGTGTAATCAAAGGTTAGCCTAATAATTAGAAACAAATAATTCTGTTCCTTTAAACACTTACAGGTTGAGTATCATCTATTAACTATCAAAAAATATTTTAATATACTATTTCTGACCAAAAAATAAATACAAGTACTAAAATGTTGAAAATTAATTATAATATTACATACAAAACTTCTGAGTACTGTTAAGTCAATAGTAAAATGATCCCTGATTTTATGAATCCTGTTAATTTTTTGGTCAGGTCATCTTTTAAATGA